TATTAAATTATATTGAGATTCCCTCATATATATCAACTTTAATATGTTTCCTCATTAATATCACTATCAACATGAATATAAGAGCGATCCAAATAGGTTGATATTAATGAGGGACGACTGTATTATTGTAATAACCCGGAAATATTAAATCATAAAACTAATTTTCACGAGTAAGATGTGAAACCCGAGTTTCAAAGTTACTGTAAAGTGTGGACTTGTACCCGAGGACAATTTTAAACTAAATTTGATTTACAGTATATCCGAATAGTTATTCATACTATGTCTTGGGCAAGTTATATATCCGGTAGTTTTCTTTTTTACCGGACATCAGACTTTTCTTATCGTTATGTGATGTCCAGTATCCAATGAGGCGCAGTTGCAATTGTAATTAACGTTAATATTGCATAGGACAATTCGGACATTTTTCCAATGTCCGGTAATATGTCCGATATTAATGACCAATCAAATACTATCGCTACTGACCAATCCTGTAAAGGTTTCAGGACGATAAAATTAGTATTGCTAGAAGATTGACTAACACCTTGGCAAAGTTATCGCCTTGGTCGATTAAGAGTGTTCTCGAACAGCTCTCCCAATGTGATTAGCAAGTGATCGAAGTGTTACTCGAATAATTGTGATTAATTCAGTAATTGAGTGGTTAATGCGGTCAATTGAATTCATTGTGATTCTAACTTTTAATCAATCAGTGTAACTCTATGCCAGATTTTATTCTTCGAAATGATAACTCACTTGTTTAGTTCAATTTCTGGCTAATTAAATTGTTGCCTCTGATCTGTTGAGTGAAGAGATTGAGAACACACTCAATTTTACGCGATCAACAATCACGAGAAGCTATTTTATGTCCAATCCGATGTCCATTGCTTTTGATTGGACAAATTGGACACTGAACATCGGACAGATTTCCATTGTCTGAATTCCATTCATGCCAACTCTGCCCTTGATAAGAGGAATCGAATGGAATACATTGTATTTGTCAATATATTTTTTTAATATATAGGAAAATGGCCCTCCGAGACCGTAATAAAAATTAAATTTATAATCCATTCAATTGGATAACTATATGGCTAGTAAATTTAATTTTTATTCACAAAATCAACATAGCCTCGGAGGGTCATTTTCCTAGCAGGGATCCCATATATTTTTTACAAGCATTGAATTATTTTTTTCTGACCTTGCAATCCAAATCAACCGATTTCTCTCATCGGGAGGATTAATTGGTATAATAATCGCTCAATTCTAATCGCAGAGTCATAGGATATTTGTGGTTAACCATTAAAGTATATCTAGAAGGTATTGTTACGAATTGTGATATTCATGACTCTGTGATCAGAATTTAATGAGTGTTATATCATTCGATTCCTCTCATCGAGAGGAATTGAATGATATAAGTTTCATCCAATTCTGATCACCGGATCACGAGATATAACAATTCGACAAATTATTCCTTGATACAAAAAATTGATTTTTTGTAACAAACTTCAATTAAAATATTTTTGAGATCTAGTGATCAAAAGCAAATGATTTTGATATCATTCGATTCTTTTGATCAATAGCTCAAATCGAAATACTTCAATTCACCAAATTACCCCTATTCACCTTATATATAATAAATAACATGTTATATAGCGAGTCCATCCTCATTATACACGTAGTACTTATAATATATTCCTTAAAGATCGTTAGAAGATCTTCATAAACATGGGAACCTCGAGCACGACGCATCCTTATGTCATGTGGACAGTGCGTTAGGTGAGAATTGGGTGGTAAAAAAAGACTTAGTTGATCAATTAATTGCCAACGCAATTGATGGGAAAATTAAATCGGAATCCCTCATAAACACATTCCGAATGCGCTACCTGGATTCGAAAGAAAATAATCCGGATTTTACCTTTGGTCGTCCTGAAGTACAACTTGCCTCGGGTGAATATTCTTTACTTCTAAATATTATCGGTGCAAATACAAATAAAGAAGTAGATGCTAGGATTGCAGAAATATTTTTTTATGAAGAAAGATTAGCCGACGAATGGACACGACCGAACTCATCAGTGTCATTTTTTACAATATTTGGAACTAATAATGAAATTGCGAAAATAATGAATGAAGAAATCAAAAAGTTAACATCATAATTGACTATATTATGATTATTTACTAAGCTACCGCGAGATCTTTTTTTATATCACCAAAATCTTATTAATAAATTAACATGTTTATATTCCCTCGAGAATTTGATATGCTTGAATGGAGAGTAAAGCCATAAATTAAGAATCTATATAAACTTGAACTGATGAAACATTTTCATACTGAGTAGGACCCCGAACAATACTAATGGAGGTCATATTTGAAAAATACTAACAGAGGTCAAAATTTTGCAATTTTGATCGGCTAAAAATTTTTTATCCAATCAAATTGCGAATAACGAAAATATACGGAACGCGTAATTTGACCAATTAATGTTAGCACCCTAAAAACCTTTAAGCCGTAAGCCCTAACCCTAAGGTTTAAATATTCCTATCCATAAAAATTTGAAATTTTGTCCTAATTTTAGGGTAACTTACTATGAAGACACATACGGGTCTTTCTCCTGCTATACTGAGCAACTTACGCAGATTTTTAGTATCGTATAACTTCTTTTTCAGGTCACGCAATGTTATCTCGGTATATTTCCCCAAAAATTTGCTTAGGCTAATCATTTATGTGATTGGTCACGTGGGAAGACAGATTCTGAGCGGACAAGCTACGGACAGTTCTTAGGGACAGTTTAAATCACGTGAATAGTTGTTAGGGACAGTTAAGGTTTAGTGGTTTTAGCAATATCACGTGAATTCGACTGTCCATACTGTCCGTAAGAACTGTCCATAGATCCTGCGGATTCTGAGATTATCAATCAATCACAATTTAGTCACGTGTCGGACAGACGGAGTTTTACTTGTAAGTCCTCGCTACGCTTCGGACAATCAATCATTGTAGTTTTGAAATAAGCTACTTAATTTATATATACTTACTGCTCATAATGTTTTTTTCCCTTTGTTTAGGTTTATTTCATTCGCATTAACTTAGCATTTCGATAAAGATTATTATATATGATGGATTTAAGATAAGCTACTAAAGCTCATTAATATTTATTGCTACATGATATCTCTTGTCTTATTCTTTTATTCATGCTGATTAGTGGAAGTATAATGATTATTTATTAATCACATTGTATCTATTCAAATTCACCGTTACATAATTCTTCATTTGACTCATTCCATTTGTGTTTATTTAGTGGTTAGCTTAAAGATTATACGTAAATCGACAATATTTAAAATAAGTTATTCAATTTGATAAATATTATCATTGTATGATGTCTTTTATCCAGATTTATTTCATAATATAGTTACGTACTATATACTGTATAATTTCTTATTTAGATTTAATGATTTGATCTACCCTTCAGAATTGCTTCGCTTCAGGTTGCTCCAAATTTATATTTTTAACCTACACCAACACGGGTTTAGTTCAATCTGGAGTGGCTTCTAAGTATGCCATTCTATTATTAACACCCTAGACTTAATTCATTCACACCAATTTTGTGGTAGATATAATAATCGATTACATCAAGATTAATAACTACGTATTCGGCTTACTATTATTTTATTTATATTTATTATTAGACGGGAGTTAAGATCAATCGTATATAAGATTATTCAAGATACCTATATACTATTTTTCATTTAAGTTTCTTTTTGCGTCAATTCAGAAGTATGCAAAGAATATTTTTTATTAAGCTGATTTAATTCAGTATTAAGCATGAATATTATTATTCAAGGTAAGCTATTCAAGTTCATAGATAATTCATATTTTTCATTTGAGTGCTGTAAAGCGGAAACCTGTAAGTAAAAAATTAAAAATTTCCCTATACCGAACCTAATCCCTGGAGAATTGTGATGGTACGTGTGTACAATTAGTATTCTCAGAATACTGATTGTACACGTGTTTCAATACATACTATCACAATATCACAATTCTCCAGGGATTAGGTTCGGCATAGTGGAAAATTTTACTTACAGGTTTCGCTTTGCCGCACTCATTTAGATTCATTTCATTTGTGTTAATTTAGCAGAATCGTATAAAAGTTATCAGTTTGTATATTTAAGATAAGCTACTAAAAGTTCTTGGATACTTACTATGGTGTAATATCTTTTATTTTTCATTTCATTCGCGTTAATTTATTGGATGGGATTATCACAGGGTGAATTTAACGTGCAGCAATAATATGAATACTGGGAAAATTAGAATATTTTTTATAATTTATATAGTGATCCTTATGTGCTTCTTCCTCGCACATAAAAGTCATAACCATGATGTTATGCCCTTTAAATAACTTCTTGGAAGTATAATTAAGAGGCTGTGAATCAATAAAAATAAGATATTAATTTCTTATTAAATTGGCAGAAAAATATTATATAAATATTATTTTATTGCAATATAATAAATAATTATACTTATATTAATTTTTTAAAATTTAGTTTTTTTTATTAAAATTTACAATATTTATATGCCCGAAGCAAAACGATGGTTAATTGCTAGTATAAAATTATTCGACTTTGTTTTTTCCTTCTTTTTCCATCCCAAAAAAGTCTTTTAGAGACAACACTACAAGTTCATGATCTTCGATATGTGATAATCCACTGACTGTGATAGTCCCAGCAACACCAACACCTTTAACAATTAATGGAAAAGCACCACCATATGCAACCAATTCTTTGTCAACAGCATAATATGCTTCACCGAGCTTCTTATTTTGTTTCAAATATTCACTAACATAAAGGGAAGAATGATAAAATTGGTTTACAACATTATTTTTTCTTCGTACCCATTCAACATCCGCAGGACTAGTCCCCGGCATGGAATAGTGAAATAAAAGATGCGTGTTCAATGTAATAGAAATGACTACAGGAACCCCTTTTTGTTGAGCATTTTTGAGAATTAGGAGACCTAATTCGAGTGCTATGCTGGAATCGAAAGCTAAAAATTGGAAGTCTTGTTCTTGCTGAAGAAGGTGAGCTATGTCTGTTGTCGCCATTTCGATTTAATAACTACTTGAACTTTAAGTGCGATATCAAGAGGGAAATTTGTTTTTATTGGTTAAAAAACCATGTTACACTAGGGTGATCATCAAACTAATAAAATCAAACTATAAGTAGCCGTACATACTGTATAAGCATGATGGAAAATCCATTTGATTGGTTGTCGATCATCATAGTAACACCATATATAAAAATACAATTGAT